ATTGTGAGAGAACTATGTAAATTAATTCATTTCTTCGCATTGCAAATCAGCACTTTGATGTTGAAAGACTAAAACTCATCAGCTCTTTTCTGAACTTTCATGATGTGGACTGTGCTAGTACTCTTATGTAACTTGGAACTAAGAAATGCATGTGCCAGTTAATAAAATAAACCCTGTGGCAGCAAAACAATATTTGACTGCCCACTAGGATACAAATTATACTGTAAACCTAGTTCTGCAAAACACCAAAATATGAACAGAAGGTGACAGATCGACATTGGTGGGGAAGACCTAATCATAAGCCGTATCCACATGTATGCTAGTTCAGATTTCACAAAGAGCAAAAAAATGGCACAGAAAGAGCTCAACATCAAGTCAAATCAAAGATATTCCTTCTGTTCTACTGGCAAATGTTTTGTATCACAGCAAAAGATCCAATCTGAAGCCACCCAAAACATAGTTCCCACAAGCAGAACGAAAAATATTAATCGAGTAAAAATTACCAATGGCCAATGGTTCAAGTTCAACTCAAAGAAGCTCGTCACATATGTATGGGTAAAAAAATAAAATAAAATATAAACAGGTGACTGCTACACACTGACACTGCTCCAAAAGAAGACCAAGAATAGAAACACAAAATCAGAGAGTTGTTAGGTCAGAAGTAGACAAATGGCCCGTTTCAAAAAATAGCCGTTGCACTGAATGTGAGAAATGACCCAGAATAGAAACGCAAAAACAAGCGAGTGCAAGCTGTAGGAGTTTCGCATTGATGGACCACGACCAACTGTTGATTAGTGTACCCAACAATTCTGCTCACAAAAATCTCATACTCTAGTACTCTACAGTACCAGACGAGTAAATGAGCCACCCACCCAAATGAGGAGTACTGTAACTTACAAAATGAATAAAAAGTCCCATTCTATGCCAAAACCCCGCTACAAACTGACGACAATGGGTCCTTTTCGCCATAAAACGAGGAAAGAACGGTCATGGTTAGTACATTGGTTCTTGAAACGCTGAAAATGGAGCTCACGCGACTTGTATTGAAAGGCGAGATTTCAGTGCCACGTTGGTTTGAAAATCCTCAAAGTAAAGCAAGAAATCGAGCATGAAAGACCCAAAAAAGGATTTCTGTAACTTGGCAAAAGGTGAAGCATCCCCTTTCTAAAGGTCAAATGGAAGAGAGCATTTTCCTCCCCAATGTTCAAATCCGAAATATGAACGAGCTACAAATGTCAAGCGCGGAAACCCCAAAATGCAGTACTGAACCCCGGCACCGGTAGTACTTTCTTGAACCAATCTCAAAATGCAGTACTGAACCCAAAAAGAAAAAAAAATCAGGAAGCTGTCCTTTCTTGAACTTTTCACCCAGGAAACCAAGGGAAGAAGGCACGGAAAGCTCAAAGCCTCACCTTGGAGGTTGACAATGGCGGCAATCTCGACAGGCACGGGCCCGGTGAGATGGTTCACGTCGAGGTACAGGTCCGTGAGCTCGGACAGCTTCCCAATCTCCCGCGGTATGGGGCCCTTGATGCCGTTGTAGTGGAGGTACAGCCCCTGGAGCCGACGCAGCCCGGCCACCGCCGGCGGCAGGGTTCCCGAGAGCCCGCGGCCCTGCAGCGAGACCGCGGTGACGCGGCCGTCGCGGCTGCATGTCACGCCGACGAAGGAGCCGGCGCATGGGTCGCCGGAGGGGTCCCAGGAGCCGAAGACCCGGCCGGTCGGGTCCAGCGCCCGCTTGAGCGCCGCCAGCGCGCGGGCGTCCTCCTCGTTGCGCGCGGAGGCGCCGAGGACGGAGAGGAGCAGGAGCAGGAGGGGAAGCGGCAGGAGGGAGCGGAAGCTGAAGCGGAAGCGCGCGGCGGCCATGGGAGCAGGGGGCTTGAAGCCTTGAAGCGGCGGAGAGGGAGGGGTGGGGGGAGGGAGGACCGGAGAGAGTGAAGTAGAGTGAGCGGACTGTGAGGCAGCGAGGGGAGGGCTTGACTGAGAATTTAATACCTGTTTTTGGGTGTGGTTTAGTTCTAAAAATTTTCACCCTAAATTATCACATCGAGGCCCTGTTTAGTTACACCTCAAAATGTCAAATTTTTCAAGATTCTCCGTCACATTAAATCTTTGACGCATGCATGAAGTATTAAATATAAATAAAAAATAAAATTAATTACACAGTTTAGACGAAATCCACGAGACGAATCTTTTAAGCCTAATTAGACTATGATTGAACACTAATTGTTAAATAACAACGAAAACGCTACAGTAGCATTTGCCAAAAATTTTGGCATCCAAACTGGCCCCAAATCTTGCGGCACATGCATGGAGTATTAAATATAGACAAAAAAAACTAATTGCACAGTTTAGTTGAAAATTGCGAGACGAATGTTTTAAGACTAATTAGTCCATGATTAGCTATAAGTGCTACAGTACTAACATGCGCTAATGATCGATTAATTAGGCTTAATAAATTCGTATCGCAGTTTTCCGGCAAGCTATGTAATTAGTTTTTTTTATTAGTATCCGAAAACCCCTTCCGACATCCCGAAACATCCGATGTGACGTCAAAAAATTTCATTTCACGAACTAAACACAGCCTTAGTTTTCTCCGACGACCAGACCCAAAAATAACTTTTCTGCACATAGATCTTTAGGAGAGATACTTACATTTGAGTTATACCTCTTCTAATACATAAAATGGACCTATATAATACATAAAATTGACCTTTTATATAGGTATTCTGTTATAGACTATGGGCCTGTTCGTTGGGAGGAATTTGGAAGAATCTGGAGGAATTTGTGAGAGAGTGAACAGTTTTTTTAACCGTAAACGGTGAATTCCGACTGATTTTAAAGGCAGGTGAACGGGGCCTATATATATTTTGTTGGAGACTTATTTTGGGTCTAGGTCTCCTGATACATCTCTTGTTGGAGACAGACCGACGGGGTTTAAGCCTAAAATTTCAGGCATAGTTTGGAATTCAAGGATTGCACCGTAATATAATTTGCTGAAATTATGTGAATTGCTAATTGTACGGGCTCTCAAACTTTCAGAATACATATTCATGTCCCAAAATTCATTAATCCCGATTAAGCAGGAGTAATATGATGACTTGAACCAGACACATGTACCATGTGTTGGTCTTCCTCTCTCTTCCTTTTCCCTCTCATCTCTCCTCACAATCTCCTAAATACTTCTCCCTAAGTGAGAATGTCCTAAAATCTAGAGCTCTATGTATTGTGGCTGAATCTAAAAAGTCAAGGTATGTTTGGATCTAAGAGCTTCTTTGGTGTCTGCCTATACACACCCCGTCGAAGACGTGACCGCATCAAAAGTGTGGCGGACGATTTGTCCACTAGACATTTGGCAAACAGCGATGTGAAAAAAGTAGGTGTGAAGTGGCAAAGGTTGGTGGTGCCGCAACTCAAGGAGCAAACCAAACATGTGACTAACTTCTGGTACTAAACCTGCAGCGTGGTGCAGAGAGCTCTCGTTGTGGACCAAATGCTCTGTAAGATTACAAAAATCTAGATATTAGACGGTGATCGTAGAATCTGGATCTAGATAAGAAAAGAAGCTAGTTGGTGTTCTAGACTATTACTAGGGATCCGAGTTGGTCGCTCCTGATAGCAATGTTATACTAGATGGTTGGATTGTGAGAATTTGATGGTTGTTTTATAAAAATTCCTAGAAATGGAATCCACTTGTCTGGATTTTATTCTCATTCTTGCATTCCATTTTGGTAATTTCTAGGAGATCCAAATATACCTTAATACTACATGACTCCTAGCGAAATTTCTATTTTATTATTTGTATTTCATCTCTATAGGCATCCTCAAGGTCGCTAAGTCTGCTTGTGCGTTGTGGCATGAGATACAAGAGATGGAAACAGGAAAATATGTTAGAATCTATTTGGAATAGAGGAATGGAAAAAAAAAAGAAACGTATAAAAATAGAGGAAAGGAATAGGGATGAGATTGCAAAACAGAGGAATATAAAACCTAGAAAGAAGATGTAAAGTGGTGTTTGAAAAAAAAACTATGGCAGTGATTAACTAATATTAGCATCTCTAATAATAGTGGATCACATTATTGTATTTTATAATTACTTGACGCATTTAATAGTCTGCGACTCTTACAAATGGGCCTCCGATACTTTGTCCATTAACTCCACGTCCAACCATTTACCGTACATATACAGCTCATTCATTCGAGTGTTCCACCAGCTAAAGTACGATTAGCACGCGAGAGAGGCCCCTCAACAAAAAATTCAGGGAGTTCATTGGAAACTTTTCTATCCCCTCGACAAAATACAAAGATGGGATAATTCCATCCTAAAAACTAGAATAAACTTGTCACATCCCTCTGTCTCTAAACCAAATGGAATTATTGGACATGCTTGTAGAACACCCTGCGGAAGAAGAAAGACATGCCATGGACATGTCACACAACGGAGATCGTGACTATACTTTTTTTTTAAGAGCAAAACTTTATTACTCATTGGCTGCACTGGCCACCAGACCCTCTACGATTAGAGTTACATCATCCCATGTGGCTCGATCGCCACTGAGTACACGACTCCCATACGCTGCAAGAGCGTCAGCAACTGAATTACACATTCTACGACATTTACATATGAAAGAACTAAACTCCGACATTAGCCACATGGGATGATCTCCGTGATGATTCCGCCCCAAGCTAAGCAGGCTTAGCATTTAGTCCCTTGTTTGGTTCGCTTAGAACTCTCTTGCAGAGACGGGGAATACAGAAGCTTCGGCGCACGTTAAGGCAGTGCCGACATCGATGGGCCAGAAAGAGCATGGCACGGCTTCGGCTAAGCCCAGAAGGCCTTCTGCCCGGCCTATATACAGTGTACAGCCCAATCCACACCTCCAAGAACCAAGGGCCGAGGCCCGGCCACGCGCCTCGTCGGTCATCGACCGAACCCGTCCCGCACCGCACCGCACGCATCGACCGGCTCCGGCCTCCGGCTGTTCCCCCGCTCATGAGTCATGAGAGCCGTCGCGGCTGCCGCCTCTCCCCCGCTCCGTGTCCTCCTCCTCCTCTCCCCCCACCTCCCTGCCCCAACCTCGCGACCCCGGTCCCGGTTCGCCATGAACCCTTCGTCCTCCTCATCCTCCTCTGGCGGCTACCACTCCAGGGCCGCTGCCTTCGCTTCCCCGCAGCCGCGCGGCGGTGGCGGGAGGCGGCGCGGTGGCGGAGACGGGAGCGACCGCATCGACGCCCTCGGCCGCCTCCTGTAGCGCTTGACCCCCTCTCCGTCGCTGCTGCGTCCTGTGTGCGCCGCGCCGCCCGCTGACGGCCTCTGCTCTCGGTTGCAGGACGAGGGTGTTGCGGCACATGGCGGCGGAGCTGCGCCTGGATATGAGGACTGATGGATACGTGCGCGTCCGCGACCTGCTCAAGCTCAACCTCCAGACCTTCGCCAAGGTTCCTCTCAAGTCTCACACCGTGGACGAGATCAGGGAGGTATTGGCGATACTGCTTCATGGTTTTATTTGATTGATTGATTGATTGATGAACTGCTGTCGAACTTGGTTCGTGCTAAACGTTATTTCTTCTTATTACTCCTAGCTTGCATCAGGAAACCCGCCATGTGGATTGCTGATGTGCTATAGATTTCTTTGGATCATGAAATTTGCTGTGAACTGTGAGTAGTATTCAGTTTGATGAGAAAATTTGTGACATTTTGGCTGGCGTGCAGGCAGTCAGGCGGGATAACAAGCAGAGGTTTAGTCTGTTGGAGGAAGAAGGCGAGCTGTTGATCCGGGCGAACCAGGGGCACACAGTAACAGCATGTTCTCTGCCCGAGATTTTTCCTGCATCAATACCGAAGCTGTTTCCATAAAACAGCATGTTTTTCCCATGATTTTTCACTTTTCCTTTAACTTTGCGTAAGATTGAAATGTTTTTCACAGTGGTAATCTAACATCCACTGATATAATGGTTAGTGGTCCTCTGTCCTCCTATCGCTTACTGCTTAGGAACTGAGAATGTGATTATTGGAATGCTTGCTGCATTGAATTCCTGGACTAATAAAAGGAATTAAGGAATGGTCCATTCACATTTTTTAATGTATAATACTTATATTCTAGAAGGGCGGGCCTGGTGCAAGCGGTAGAGTCTTACCGCCTGTGACCGGAAGGTCCCGGGTTCGAGTCGTGGTCTCCTCGCATTGCAGTGAGCGAGGTAAGGCTTACTGTGACACCCATCCCAGGACCCCCTGCACAGGCGGGAGCTCTCTACTTCGAGTACGCCTTTTTTTATAATACTTATATTCTGATAGTTTCCTTGTATATGCACCATAGCACTTCGATTTTTATGCTTGAAAACCTTTTATCTCATCAATGCTAGCTTTTTGCTTTTGTACATTACGAATGTAGCTTTTGTTTCTAATTTATAAGCTTCATTAGCACCCTAAATCAGCAGGATTTGTTTTGAACTCAGATAAGGTGGACAATCATGCTTTTTCTTACCCTCAGTCAGTGTATCTCCTTTGGGTATTTATTGCAGTATTCTCTGTTGTGGCCTGCTGTGCTGCTTCCATTTTTGTTATGAAGACATCAAGTGAATTTTGTTGACTGACTACCCCCACAATCAGCTTAGCAAAAAGAGACTTTAGAGCATCTATGGTTTTGGACGCTGTGGCTAGATCAACATAAATTGCCGCTCCATTGGCCATTCTAGTTTTCTTATTAATCCTGCAATCCTCTTTCAGACTGTTACTTCAGAGAGCCTGCTGAAGCCCATTTTGTCCCCTGATGAAGTGTCAGGTATGCAAAAATAACAATCACTTTTGCATTTGCTCCCGAATGGAATCATGTATTTTTCTAATTTATTTATTCCATCTGCAGTTTGTGTGCATGGAACTTACAGAAAAACTCTTGACTTGATTTTGGAATCTGGGCTAAAGCGTATGGCAAGGTTACATGTACATTTCTCAAGTGGCTTACCATTAGACGGAGGAGTAATTAGTGGTATGCTTTATTGTTTTAGAGACACATCAGTATTGAATATGTCCATAGAATAATCAATTATGCTATCTTAGCAGATGATTTAAGTATATGTAAACATTGAAGGTCATCAGGATTTTTTTTTATAAACAAAAAGTTTATCATTAAATTTCTGCTGTAATCTAGTATGCTTCCAGTCATCATTATTGTTCCTTAAGTTAGCTGCTTACCTTTGCGACTTCAGCTGTTGCACTTTTGTAACATGTTTTTTTAATGTTTCTACTGTTCCTGCCACAATGAATTTGAATTGCTTTTCCATCTTCAGGTATACGGCAGAATGTGAACATCTTGATACATCTGGACGTCAGTAAGGCACTTAAAGGTACTATCTACTGCTTATAAATGGGCCCCTTTTTCTGTTTTCTTTCTTTTTCTGACTACTAGAGCCTGATATATGACCTAAATTTATTGCACAGATGGGATGGAGCTTTATATTTCAGACAACAAAGTGATCTTGACAGAAGGTTTTGATGGCGTCGTCCCTGTGAAATACTTTGAAAGAATCGAAACATGGCCAGGACGAGCGCCAATACCGTTCCAAAGATAACAGCCCATGGTGGCAGTTATGTAGTTTCAGCGTTGCTGGTTCATACATACTGGAAATTTGATTTGTCGTGCTGTATCCCAGAGAGCTAATTTTCGGCAATTCACATATATGATGGGGGGAGGAAAGAAGTTCACATGCATTGTCGGTGCTTTCCCTGTGGGTGTGGAGTATGTCAGTACTCTGTAAATTTTATTGTGTTGGAGCCTCTCAGTTGCGGTACATTGTTTGCTCCGTTATGTGGTTTGATTTCGGACTCTGCAGAAAGCTGTGCGGTACCCAGCATCCAGCAGATTGGTGTACATGTACTCCTTTGCAGCCACCCTTTTGGGCTGCTTTCTCTCAAGCGCATCTTTGCCCTCTTGGTCCAAATATCCGGGCCGGGCTGCCCGTGAATGACTCGTCTTCTTCCACAATCACGCACGGCTGTTTGGTCGTCCGTTCGGACGGACCCTGCCCGAGTCATGCCACTCTATAACGGGCCCTGCCCGTATAGTCGTAGCCTCTCGCCCACTCTGTCTTCATTCTTCAAAAAAAAAAAATCACCGCTGCAAGCGCCATGGCGTCCCCTCGAGTGCGTCGTAGCCTCCCCTCCTCCCCTCCTCTCCATGGATCCAGCGGCACCCCTCCTCCACGTGTCTTCCCTCAAGTCCGGCGGCCTCCATGGCGTCCCCTCCCCCCACTCCATGGCGGTTGTGACCCTCCCCCGCGTCCCACCGGATCTGGCCGGTGGGCTCGAGCAAGCAGTTGGCACGCGGCTGGCAGGCTTAAGCAAGCCACTGACCCTCCCCTACCCCGCCCAGTGGCGCCCTCCTCAGATCCGGCAATGTCTCCTCTCCCTTGGCCGACGGCGGGCATGGAGGGGGCGTTCGGACGACCACCATCCAACGAGTCTGCGCCACCGCAGTTGCCCACTAGGTCATGGCCATGTGGCGATGCTGTGTTTCAAGTGTTTCTAGATGCTTTTTCAAAAATATTGCAAGCTCATGTTTCAAGTGTTTCGGTTGTTTTAGATGTATGTTTCAATTGTTTCATGCGGATGTTGCAAAAGTAGCTCGGGATGTTGTATATGTTGCAATGGTTGTACACGTATGTTGCAAGCGTCTATCCCCAATGTTTCATCTGTTTTTTGTACACATATGTTGCAAGTGTTTCAAACGCATGTCTCAAGTGTTTCATCTGTCTTCTTTTGTATGTTACAAGTGTTGTATCTGGATGTTTCAAAAGTAGATCGGGATGTTGAACATGTTGCGATGGTGTTTCAGTTGTATGTTCCAAATGTTTCGTCTGTTTTAGACGTATGTTGCAAAGTTTTCATCAGAATGTTGCAAAAATAGATCGGGTGTTGCATGGCGCGGCAGGTGACTGTCGCTGCTGCTGGGGCGCAGCCGTCCATCAACCCACGTGGGTTTCCCTATGCGGGGCGTGGGGTGGGCGTGAGGTCGCGAGTCCCTGCAACGGATGTGGGCGTAGGTGCTGGGGCGGGACGCGGGGCATGGGGCGCGATACGGACGCAGGAGCGACGCAGGTGTCGGAGCCGCGTCCGGACGCAACATCCTGCTAGGACGTCGGGCGCTAGCCGTACCGGTAGATAAATGGCTTGTTTTGTTTAAACAAATGAGGATGTCTCTTGGTTGAGTTGGTTAGCACTACAGATCGGGGTCCGGGTGAGGTTAATCAACTGGAATGAACTCGTCCCTTTCCAAGGAAAAGGGGAAAGCCGTCTCTTCCTTTCATATTTTTTAATTACTTCCTTCGATCCAGTAGTATATAAGGCGTGTTTTAACATTGCACAGTCTCCTAAATTACGCTTTGACTATCCATTTATTTTATATTATGTTGTTTATGATTATTGGATTGTACATTTGACTACAAATCCAATAGTATCAAGTTTGTATTACAACAGTTAGAAGTTCTTTGCAGAATTATTGGTTAAAGACTATAAAATTTGACTGTTGACGCACATGAAATGCGCTATAAATTGGACCAGAGGAAGTATTTTTGTGCGGACCATTTAAGGTTCGTAGGAAATTAGTTGGAAACTCAAAACACTACCATGGACTCATCACTCTTTGAAGTTTGCACAGTAGATTCATCACTCTTTGGTCAAAGCGTTTGTTTAATTTATCTGGAGTTCTGGACCAATATGCTAGGTGTTTATTATGGTTGTTCTGTTGCTGCAGGAACAGGAGTTGAAGCAATTCAGTCAACTCGGAAGCAGGACACCGGGTCACCCTGAAAACCTTGTAACTCCTGGAGTACCACTGGTCTGTTTATTTTGAGTTAGCTCACTCTAGTTGTAACTTGGCTTACTGTAATACCAAACGGAAAGTTTAGGTTTCCAATCTGATTGTTCTGCAGGACCTCTTGGTCAGGGTATCGCCAATGCAGTTGGATTGGCACTCGCAGAGAAGCACCTGGCTGCCCGCTTCAACAAGCCCGACAATGAAGTTGTCAACCACTGCACGTACGCATCGTCTTTATTGTCATCATGTCATGTTTTCCTTTTAGTTTGTGTGATGCAGTTGTGGTAGCATGATTCACGAATTTTGTACAGATACGTTATCCTGGGAGATGGTTATCAAATGGAGGGTATTTCCAGTGAAGCTTGCTCGTTGGCTGGACACTGGGGTCTTGGCAAGCTCGTTGCTTTCTATGATGGCAACCACATATCCGTTGATGGAGATACAGAGACAGCATTCACAGAAGATGTGAGCGCACGCTTTGAGGCCTATGGGTGGCACACACTCTGGGCTAAGAATGGAAACACTGGCTATGATGACATCCGTGAAGCCATTAAGGAAGCGAAGGCAGTAACTGACAAGCCTACATTAACCAAAGTCAGTCTTCTCTTTTTGTTATTACTGGATTAATTTGTTGGTTTTGCTGTAGATATTGTCACATGTATCCAATATATACTGCTTCTAGGTGGCCACAACAATCGGTTATGGATCGCCCAAAAAGGCCAACTCATACAGTGTGCACGGAGGTGCATTGGGCACCAAAGAGGTCGAAGCAACCCGGCAGAATCTTGGATGGCCCTATGAGCCATTCTGTGTGCCTGAGGATGTCAAGAGGTCTGTCAACTATTTATCCTAGTTATCTGAATGAGGTGATGAAAATCCATAGCAGTTACGACATGATATCCTTGCATGGACTGTTGCAGCCACTGGAGCCGCCATGTGCCCCGAGGTACTGCACTTGAGGTTGATTGGGATGCGGCCCCGCTTGGCAGGGCTCCGGCGGGCTCCGGCTCTGCACTGTAGCATACTGTCGGCCACCCAGAAGCCGACAGGTGCCGACGGGAGGAGGAGAGAGAAAACGGCTTCGGTGAACAGTACCATCCTGTCGGCCTCCCAGCAGCCTACAGGCAGGAGCCGGAGCCCGGCCAACCGGGTTTGCAGACTATGAGAAGAAGTACCCAGAGGATGCAGCAAGCCAGCAACCTTGAAAAATATCATCTCTGGGGAGTTGACTGCTGGCTAGGCTGATGTCCTGCCTGTAAGTTTATTACCATCTCTACTCCTGATATTAGAGATGATGTGCAGATGATGACTTACCAATGTTATATCTCTTGATCATCCAGAAATACACTGCAGAGTGCACAGAAGCTTCGACCAGGAACCTCTCTCAGCAGTGCTTGAATGAACTTCCTAAAGTACTGCCTGGTTTTCTTGGAGGCAGTGCTGATGTTGCATCTTCCAGCATGACGCTGCTCAAGATGTTTGACAACTTCCAGAAGCATACGCCCGAGGAGCGCAACGTCTGCTTCGGAGTGAGGGAGCATGGCATGGGCGGCGTTTGCAACGGCATTGCTCTGCACAGCCCAGGTCTCGTTCCATACTGTTCAACCTATCTCGCTTTCTCTGATTACATGAGAGCTGCCATGAGAGTCTCAGCCTTGTCTGAAGCTGGAGTTATCTATGTTATGACCCACGACTGCATCGGTGTCGGAGAGAATGGCCCAACCCATAAGCCCATCGAGCATCTGATGAGCTTCCTAACGATGCCCAACATGTTGGTGCTCCGTCCTGCGGATGGCAATGAGACTGCTGGAGCGTACAGAGTCGCGGTTCTTAACTGGAAGAGGCCATCTGTTCTTGCTCTCTCCAGGCAAAACCTTTCCCAGCTGCCTGGTACCTCGATCGAGGGTGTTGAGATGGGTGGGTACATCATCTCTGACAACTCAAGTGGCAACAGGCCAGACCTTATTGTGTTGGGTACCGGTTCTGAGCTGGAGATCGCTGCGAAAGCTGCAGATGAGTTGAGGAAGGAGGGGAAAACTGTCCGTGTCGTGTCGCTTGTCTGCTGGGAACTCTTTGAGGAGCAGTCAGATGAGTACAAGGAGAGTGTTCTCCCAGAATCTGTCACCACAGTCCACAAGGATCAGTGTCGAAGCAGGGTGTTCTCTTGGATGGCAGAAGTACGTGGGCCCCAAGGGCAAGATCATTGCGATCGACAAGTTCGGTGCGAGTGCTCCTGCTGGAAAGATCTACAAGGGGTATGGCATCACTGTGGAGAGCGTCATTGCGGCAGCCAGGAGCCTCTAAGAGTGCACTGTCATTTCTTTCTTATGTGGTCGTTCTGTGGTCGTCGGGCTTGTTAAATTTGGTATTAAAGCCGGCTGAAACTGTTTTATTGTGAGAGAAAAATACCATAGATCCTAGCTAATAAGCCGACTGATAAATTCAAGTCTGAATAAAGGACGGTGGACGGAGATGATGCATGTGTTGGAGCGGGAAGAATGGGATTCAAGGCCTGATGATAAACATAAACATTGGTTTCTATTTTGAGCGGTTTGGTTTTATCCGGCCGTTCTTTCATGTTACTAATTTCGCTGAATATTGCCTATTGGTAACTACGTCACGACACGATGACCTTGGTTCTTGCCTTGTGCAAATGTGGAGTTTTGCTCCGGTGGACCTCTAAAAAAATTGCACGCATCTTAAAGTAACTTAATATTAATTAAATCCTTCTTAATTGATTAACCCACGGTCTTGTAGGGCCCAAACCTATCCATCGAATCCGGCCCATGCCCACCCATTCCGATTATTGTGGATCACAGGATCACTACTTTGATGTATCGCCTGATTCTTCTTTCGTCCAATCGACAGCATGGCACGGCACGGCACGGCACGCGGAGGCGGCGGCAGTACCACCATGGCGGCAGGGTATGAGCGTTCTGCGTTCAACGTTCAGAGTTGGACGTACGGCGGCGACTACATTTCACGGGTTGGGACACAACGCCATTTCGAACGCCCTCTCGACAGGGTGGCGTTGGCTGCTGCATTCTTTTACGCTGATAGGCTATAGCAATCGCTCGTGCTGCCATTGTATGATCGAAGCGAGGCCACCCGCTTCTACCACCTTTTCCTTATTTGCATCTGAACTCTGAAGTACACAATCTTGGTGGGATCTTGAGATTGCCGTGTAGGTCGATGCGGAGCATGGACCTCTCCATGGCTATCGCCGCCTATGTCGAGAGGGCGCTCCAAGCCTCCAAATGGTGCCGCCTGGGTAGTAGGAGCTAGCGGCAGCGCTGAGCTGACCGGCCACTCCCAGCGCGCAGCATGCTGTCACCCTGCCGCAACGCCGATGCGGCCGCTCTATTGCCGACTCGCCGCCTCTCTGTGTGCCGCACCTGCTCCGGGTTCCTATTAGACGAAGAACAAACATGAAATAGTAAAGGACCACGATAATCTGAACTGGTGGACACGGCTGGGCTCAGATGGGTATGGATGGGCTAGGCCTATACGAGACCCATGGGTTAATTAATTAAAAAAATTATTTAAAACTAGATTGCTTTAAAATCCTTGCAAACTCTTTTGGGAGGTCAACTGGAGCATTACTCTTGCTGAATTAGCTTGAGTTCATTCCTTTTGCCTATCATCATCCTGCATTTCATCCATAGTCCAATCTGAATTGCTCTCCTCGAGGCGTCCGACGCTTCGGGCACGCTCTTCCTGGGCTGCGGAGCACTGGAGCTCGATAAGAAGCCTACTCATGGCTTCTCCATAAAAAAAAAATTAAATGCCGCTTCCTTGACCCTCCTCACCCATTGCGGTCTTTTTTCACCGTGCGCATGCGTCTTCTAGGGGCGACCCCACCACGCCGCCCGCCGGCCGCTCACCTTCCTAGCGCGGGGGATGCTTGCCGCAGGCAGCGCCGTCGTCCGGCGTTGTCGCCTGCACCGCGGGGGCCGCACCCGCCCGCCCTGTCGCTGGGAGCCGCGTAGCAGCTCGTCGGTGACCGCACAACCGCTCGCCGGGGCCACACAGTCGCCCGCCTGCTAGCATCCCCCCGTGACACTCCGCGGCATCGAACTCTGTGCAAGCATCGAGCTCCGCGTCGACGAGCCTCCATTCGTCTAAGCCGCAAGTAGATGCGACGCTAAAAACACATGTTGCAAGAGCATGTTGCAAGTGTTGCATATCAGTGCTGCAAAAAATAGATCAGAATGTTGCACATGTTGTAATGGCTATACATGTATGTTTCAAGTGTATGTTCTAAATGTTTCATCTGTTCCAGATGTATATATATGTTGCAAATGTTTTATATGGATGTTGCATATTATGCATGTTGAAACCATATGTTTTAAGTATTTCATACGTATGTTGTAAGTGTTTAATCTAGATATTGCATATGTTTGCAATGGTTTTCAAGTGTTTTTCAGGTGTTTTTGCAAGTGTTTCAGACGCTTGTTTTTGTATGTTACAACTTTTGCATATGGATGTTTCTAAAGTAAATCGGGTATTGCACATGGGATACGCGTGAGAAGCGGTCGTCTGCGCGATTGATGTTCGCTGCTGTGGCGCTCGCTCGCAAGCGTAATGCGTTGGGCATTCTCTCTCTCACTGTGCGGGCACCGTTCGATGCTAGCCCCCTCGGGTCCATGATCCAAATCCCTTGACACGCAGAAACGGGCACCTCCTTTCTTTCCTTTTCTGTTTTATCTGTTTTATAAACCAATCACATCTAAACCTCAATGTGGTGTTATAATGCTGCTACCGTTTGTTAAGAAACAATTCAAGAAAAATAGTGAGGATTGTTATGAACTCACTAGCTGCCCTATGCGCTTTGCTGAAGAGCCAGACTGAAAAGTACTGTTCGCTGATTTGTTATGAGAGAAAAATACTATACCATAGCTGATAAGTCTAAGTGAACGGAATTGCAAGAACTTGCATAGACAACATGGAAACGTCCTTTTTTTTTCATTCCGGAAAAAAAAGTACAGGGGGACCATGTTTGAAGCATGCTTGTCAATTCCGTTCGACGAGGCGAAAAACAACGAACTCTCACGTCTTCCTGGATTCCTGGAAGTCTTCAGAACAAACACACACACGCTATTTTCACAATATAAATCAAATTTGAACACCCAAAAAGAAACGAATTCAGCTCCTCTGGTTCTGAATTCTGAACTTGAGCAGTGGCTGACTGGCTGGCCGCCTGGCCCGGCACGCCGGCCCGGTGTTTTTTTTTTCTTTTTCTTTTTGCGACGTGGCCCCGTGCTCTTTGACAGCCCACACCCCCACCCCTGCAAACGACGATGCTCCGATCCAACGGTCAGATCAGCTCAGCCACATCCAACGGCCACGCGGGGTCTCTCGTCCACCTCCCCGCCTCTACATAAACCCCGCCTCCACGCGCGCCTCAAAACCTAGCACTCTCCGGCTCCGCCGCCACTTCTCTCCTCCGTCTTCCACGAGGCGAAACCCTAGCGCCCGAGTCCCACCCCAGCTCCCCTACTCCCACGAGCCATGGCGGCGGCGGATCTGGCGTACGCGCCGCCGATGAAGTCGGGCAAGGCCGGGTTCGAGGCGGGCCTGATGGATCCGCAGCACAGGATCCGCATCACGCTCTCCTCCAGGAGCGTCAAGAACCTCGAGAAAGGTACGGCCGCTATCAGTCCATGCTCCGTTGCGTGACGATGGATGCCATTTCCTTTGTTTGTTCCTGCGGCATCGGGTTGGAATCGAATAACTTACCCTTTGTTCGTTCCTGCGGCATCGGGTTGGAATCGAATAACTTACCTCGTGTTTCTTTGCGGCGCTGCGGCGTTTTGAGCAGTCTGCGGCGATCTGGTGAAGGGCGCCAAGGGCAAGGACCTGAAGATCAAGGGCCCCGTGCGGATGCCTACCAAGGTGCTCCACATCACCACCAGGAAGTCTCCCTGTGGTGAAGGTGACCTCTCCTTCCTTTCCCCTCACCGCCTCACGTTCATAAGTGTAGGTCTCGAATTGCCTGTTGTGATGGACATTGAGAGATGTGAATTGCGATGAATGGTATGCTGAGCAGATGATGTTAACATCTACATCGACTGATATCTTTCAGGGTCTCTGATGTTCAAAAAAAAAATCGAGCTTTTTAAAACTGATGCTTAGCATATTGTCACCGGGAAAGTTTCATCTTCATTTATGGAACATGCTGTATTCATGTGTATCAATACTGTTGGTAGAAGAGCATTTGTGTGGTGTCATACTCTTAGGATAAGGTCTTGTTGTTTATGGTTAATTGGTGGGCTGAGCATATGATGTTAACTAGGAGATGCTGCTGAGATATTACATCATTGAAGTCTCTAAAACCGAGCTTTTTAAAACTGATGCTTGGCCTATGATAGTGTTTAGTTTAGTGTGGAGGTCATTCTCGTTTTTGCATGGTTTCAGGTAAACATAGAATTACTTGCTGTTTGATCATAAAATAGTTTAATGCTGGCTGTTAAAGAATCTTTTCATTTTGGCCTGGCTCAAATTTAGCATGCAGCGTTTAGTCTGGAATAGGCTATGTGCCCAGAGTAGACTTGATGGTGAAATATTGTGACCAATTTTGGGCATACAGAGCCTTCTTTCCTGGTTTTCTACAGTTGATGAATATGTTTCTACAGTTGATGAATATATTTAGTTATTGGATGTGTCATTGATACGTTTTTGCTACCCTTAAGAGCCTTCTATATCCTAGAAAGTTTAGTGCAATATACCTAGCATGTACTTCCTTTTAGGACCTTATCCAATCAGTCTAATTCACCGGATTTAATGTGTTGGGCTTGCTGTTTGTGATGGGCTAACCCTATGATGCCAAACAAGTTAATCCTGAGATTTTATCTGAGGACTTACAAATTCGAGCTTTTTAAAACTGATGGCTGGCCCATTCAATGCTTTCGCTGTTAAAACGTTTTCAGTTCAATACACTTTTCCAGTTAACTTTTGAGTCATGTTCTAAGTTTCTTTTTATTGATGTGATCTGCATTTTGTTGGCCTTGAGCCCTACTGTGATGCTATGCAAATTTTAGTATTTCTTGGCCTGTCATTTTGCTGCATTAGATGGCCCTATATCTTGAAGATTAATATAGGAGTTATGTCAATCTTTGGAGGATAATTTTGTTGTTTTGTCAACATGCTGAGCAGATGATGATGCAATATGTTTATACTGATATACTTGATGTCTCAAAATCGAGCTTTTTAAAACTGATGACAGCATGTTAGTTCATCCTTCAATTTCGGTTCTTGATGTTTCTTGTTATCCTCTTGCCAGGATTTCTTTTGGGATTTCACTTTGTAATCAGATTATTCTTGATGCAATTATTGATAATTGTCTTGACTATTTCAGGTA